TATGTCGAAAAATGGTCATTTTTTAGGTGATTTTCAAAAAAAATCCGATTTTCAAAAAAAATTTCATCTCTCCTCATGATCTTTCGATCCCGCACTATTAAATTTTGAATCCTTTTTTTTTTTGAAAATTGATCACCCCTAACCGTTGTAGAATTATTTCTTACAATATGTATTTTGGGTTTCAAAATTATTGATTTCAGTGATGAACAGATTCATTTGATAATATTTATGAGCGACTTGAGTTTATAATTTCAACTTTGGTAATAAAACTTAGTTTAATTAACAAAATATTGGAATAAACATCAGGAAGATAATAAAGCTCATTTGATTCTACTATGAAGTTCTTTTAATCAGGTTCGACTAAAAAACATCTTCTACATCAAAGTAACATACACCGGCAAAGACAATTTCGCTTCTTCTACAGAATATTACTTCATTTGCTATTGATTCTAATCATTATTATCCATGTAATACTTGTAAATTGCGTGCTTTCTCCCTTCGGGTTTTCTCCCTAGAAACGCACTGAAGCCGAACGTTCCAAATAGATAGTATCCAGGTGTTAACAATGCGTAGAAAGAGAATGTAGTATTTTATATCCTGACATTGCACCGAAGCAGCTTGTCGATATGCTTCACTAATTTTGAACATGATATTTTTGTTGGTATTGTATATAGCTGCAGTTGTGTTCAATTCAGGACATTTCTCAACGGGCGCTATATATTTGTTATATTGAAAACATTCCTTATTTTAAAAGATAATTACATTCAAAACAACACCCCACTAAACATTCAATAACGCACCATAAATGATTTTCGTTATGTCATTTTATGTCCATGCAGAAGTTCTGCAGCAGAACTTTCAAAGTTTAAAATGTCAATAATATTCATTGAATGATACATTGAATCCAATTCACCTATTTGAATTTCTTCCGAAATAGAACTTTTAATTGGAGAATCTATCAAAACAATTCATATAAATAATAATTAAAATATTGACCCCTATTTGAGTAAAAAATCAAACAGAACTTCTGAATAATCCGTAAAACAAAGAGTTTCAATACAGCACCCACTCAGTCTCATACTATTATGTACAGTAAAGACTCCCAATAAGTGGCCCTGTAAATAAGAGAAATAATATATCGTTAGTAGACACAGTTTATGGTCGTTAAAGAAACCGGTGCAAAATGACCTCCACTTATTGACCTTTGGACCAAAATTGCCAAAACCGGCCAATTATGGACATTCATATTCGTTCATTACTACAAAAAAAATTTCACGATTCATTATAAGTGGAAATTTTTTTGTATATGGAGGTTTTCAAACTTCCAAGAAGCAATTACAAAGATATTTTACTTATTTATCCACTACATAAGGATAGAATACTATGCTTTTGATGTATTTTTGTTTCAAAATTGGCCATATTTAGCCTTTCTTTGGCGATGTTCAACCCATGTTGAAAGGTTTTTGTCATCAATGGTTAATCTGAGTTGCGATGTTCAGCAAAGTTGTCTGAAAAATCTATCATTTTCTCAATCGGAAAATCTGAATTTTTCTACATAGTTGTAAAAAATCGTCATGTATTGCTGTAATTTGGACTTGGTTCACAAAACATGACTTTTCACTATGAAGGAGTATTTTTGGGCGCAATATTTATCAAATTTCATCCCAACTCAGTTCAAGTTATATGCCATAAAACACTCGGGTCTTTAAAGACAGACTAATAACATAAGTGTAAGTTTATACAGCCACAACGGTTTGTTCTAGAAAATAATGTTGAACAAAAATAAAAACTATATGAGAAATAAGGAGAATATGTGAGGCCTAAAAATGAAAATGAACAACGAAGCATACTTTGAAAAAAATATTTTCACAGAAAAGGTACAAAAAATTCAAGTTATATAACAATCTAAAATTATCTTCTAATTTGAAAACAAAACAATTTAAAACCATCAAATTTCGGAACCATTCCTAATTGAACCTATTTCACTATTCTGAGGTTTTACTGTATATACAATCATTGTGTGGGTGTATCAAATTTTTTTTTATATATACACAGAAGATAGTTGAATGAAAGGAATGAATAAATAAAAAATAACATTAAAAGCAATAAACAAAATTATATTTGATCAATAGTAATTCTGAAACATATGCGTTTATATCATGGGTGCATATAATTAAAATTCCTTTTTTACCTTTTGGTTGTACATGATTTTTCGTACGTAGTTTACTCCGAACTATAGATACAGTAATGAACTGACTGTTACTATTAAGTGCAGTGCGCAACATTGAAGGTGTATATTAGTTATACTCAACAGCTACATTTCATTCGAATGATGAAGTTCTTAACGTTTAGCTGATATTTTTAGTTGTGTGATTAGAAATTTGAAAGAATCAACTTTGAACGCGTAATATATAAAATTTGAAAAATTTGAAAACATAGTGGTTATTTTTCACATACATATTGGTTATTAGTGGTAAATATTTACGATTTATAGCACTACAAAAATATGTTTCGTTGTTCCATGAAACGGATATGTGTTAAGAAATAGAATTCGGGTGTATAGCAACCGTAGCTAGTCTAAATTCAATACCATAGCAACAATTTCAAGTGTGGATCTTCTAACTTAACCAAACAAGCATAGCAACGCTCCAATCTTTATTAGAATTTCCACTCTTGATATCATTCCATTATTTAGGCGATCTGAGTTTTCATACTGAAAAAGCAAAATAATTCATTACTTGTTTTAAGAGTGTTTTTTATTTTCCTGTATAGAATGCAAAACTGGTGAAAAAAATATCTCAAATTTGAGCAAATATTCATCCTCGGTATATCAAATAAATCAGTAGTTCGAGAACCGTATAATTTATCAACGTGGTCTAACAAAAAATAGAAAAACGGAGACAAAAACGAAGAAAAAACTTATCAAACGCGTTCCCATTCGGCACAAAGAAATTCTGGGCGATATGGCAACTCAACTGGCGCTTCAACGAAATTTCGTTACAATTACACCAAGTAATCAGATAAGCTCGGCCAATACACAACCAAATCTTTCAACAACAACGATTGCCACCCCAGCTGCGAATGGTGAAATTGTTACCATAGCTGATGGCAATCGAGTATCAACATCTGAAAGTAATAACGCACCCATTCATATCATGCAGGCACACACACAAGTAAGTTCAATATTACAGTTAAATCTATTTCGTTTTAAATCAAGTATAATCACTTTTGCTTTTCCTATTCACAGAAGAAATACATCTTGCAAACTGGAACCACTTCAGAGGGTGTTTCGATCATTGATGTCGTGCCAATAGATCAGACAGAACCGGATGAAGCACCAATTACTGTCTCTACTATTCTGCCCACCAATTCGGTTGCTTCGTCGCCAAATAGTTCCAATTCGCAACAAATTACCGCTCAAGTCGCCTTTGTACAAACTCAGGAAGCAACTGAAATTTCAGAATCAAAACCGCAATTTATAACAGTCAATGGTAAGTCATTCTTTTTTATTTGAAAGGATCGATGAATTTTGACCGTTGGCGTACAAAGTACGAAGCAAAAAAGGCAAATAGCGCGTGAAAAGTGAGCAACAATTTCTTCGCGAAACGTAAAACGGATTTCTGCTTGGGGTGGCTGTTTTGCGAGTGTACAATGATGAATATTTAAATCTGTCATATATTTGGTCACTAAATAAACAATCATGTTGAATAATAATATTGATTTCCCAGTGATTTCTCGACGATTGATTGTGATTGCCAAAATATTTGGGACAGCGCAAGGGCATAACTAGGGGAAAAAAAGTCAAAAAAGAAATTATGAATAATCAAGAAACATTTATTTAAATAATATAAATGATCACAGTTTTCGGTTCACTTCGCTCACCATACAATTAACACACTCCCAATACAAACCTAATACACAAACTTCCGTTTGTCTTGACAGTTCGCTTATAACACCAATCTTCCTAGCGTTGCCATATGACAACACCTAGAAATTACTTTATTCCAATGAGGATAAAAACCGAATCACTTCACATATTATTATTATTATTCACATTAAGCCTGTTTTGGATGCTAATAGTATGTTGCTTTCAAATGATATACATAATGTATTAATTAATATATTACATAGAAGAATAACTTCAAGATTTTAAAAATGCAAACATCATGAAGTTGATTTATTTCTAAAATTTGACATTTTTTTCGATTGTCAAAATATTATATATCTACCGGTGAGATTGAGAGTGGTGTATGTTTCACAGACTTTGTATTGTAAATAATAGAGTATGTCCAGCAATTTTTGACACTGCACACCAACCAATTCGATATTTTTTGTCATTAAAATTGAAATCGCCAAAAACCACCAGTGAAGCATTTTATACTTTATCGAAATATTAGTCGACAAAAGATATACACTACTCTCAATCTCACCCATAGTATTTTTTAGGATTCTAACCAATGAAATTTTAGTACATTTAGTGAGAAAAAATCATATTCATAGTTTTTTTTTGAGTCGGAATTTTCTATTACAACAACAACAACAGGCGATGTCCGTGAAGCCGAAGCTTTAATCGAAAATTAAAAAATAATTGCATAAAAAATAGTAATACTAAATACTGAAACTGCATGTTTGAGAAATTGCCTCCGAACACATATGCGCCGTACGTCACTTAGAGCGTACAGCGCTTCAAGTGTTATATTAAAAACTGGACTGTGTCTGACACTGTAGACGCAATCACCTCGCGTTCGTATTGCCAAACATTGCCGACAAAATATGTGGCCCTGCTGGCTTGGCAGCTTCTAATTGAGACTACAGAGGTGGGCCCAAACAAAAATTTAAAACTCCTAAACTTCTCCAAATTAAGCCGCTGTGGTGGCATCCCAGAAAAATGTCTCGAGCATTGCTAATATTTAAACCCAAAAGAAACCAATTCATAGTCATAAATGCACTGGAGATTCGGCGTAACTTCGGTGTGAAATAAGTTAAGTTCAATACTTTGTGTAATACAAGTATATGTATTTGACTTAAGTTAAATTACTCCGATGTTACACCTTTTGTCCAGTACATTTTTAACTAACCATTTAGATGGCGTTGCATAATAACGCTATGTTCAACAAGTGGCTTCAAAAGTATTTTTTTTCTCTAAAGTCCACGATTTTCAAATCCGATATGATAAATTCACTTGAAACAATGAAAAAAAAAAGAAATATAACAAATAAATAGGAAATAAAATAAAATACAATCCAAATTAAATCCGTAAATATTCTACACGTTCTGTTGTTTGTCATATGATTTCGCAATGCTGCATAATGGTGACGAAATATTATGAAATATTTTTCTTTTAATTTATTTTTATTGATCGAATGGTGTTGAAAACAGGTAAAATCCCTATAACATTCTTCACCTATGTGTTCTAATCACAATTTTGCTGAATTTCAATTTTACATTTTCTTATTACTTTTTGGAAATAAATTGCTAATAAAAAGAAAATAACTATAATTATTTAATTTAAGATTAATAAATTTGTAAGTAGAAAAAAGAATTGATAATATGTTTAAATTCGATTGCAAGTTAATTATCGCAACTGATGCAGTTAAAACATTGCCTAATTATATTGCTATTTGCATCAATATTACTAATATTTCAATTTTCATTGAAGTAGCTCAGTATTTTATTTTTAAACAATTCATAGTTTGCATCAAGAATATTAGTTGCTTTGAATTTTCTTTCGTATAGTAGTTGCGTTCTAGTCACAGGATTTCTGTGAATTATTTGTAGGTTGAGGATTGAAAAGTTTGTTCGATCTGTTCAACCGTCGGCTTATTCTGAAGTACGGTCTAGAATGTGAGCAATAGTTCCGGTTGTGTACGAATTCATGCAGTAAGCATGCATCAAAGTATTCCCTTCTCATTTCCAGTCCTAACATATTTAAGCATTTGATGCGATCGGTATATGATTGAGGATTTTGTCTGAGTTTAAAGAAGAGCATTCTAGTGTATTTCCTTTGAACTCTTTCAATTTTTTCTTTGTGATTGATCTGATAGGGATTCCACACCGTGGTGTTGTATTCCAATCTAGATCTCACCAAAGAATTGTATAAATACTTTAGGCATGTCAGGTCCTGGAAATCGGCTGTTGCTCTCATTATGAATCCCAACATGCTTTTTATGATTGAATTTATATGTTCATCGAATTTGAGTTTGTCATCAAAGATGACTCCCAGGTCTTTGACAGAACTGCACTGAGTGAGTGAGTGGAGTAGCGTGCATATTATATAGCGGTTGTGATGGAACGGTTTTGTTTGAAAAGATCACCATGTGACATTTTTGAGATTGTTGACTACACTCCACTCATGCAGTCTATCAATGTCGTTTTGAAGTCTGTCAGCATCTTCTTGAGATTTTACTCTGATATAAATTTTTAGATCGTCAGCGAAGGGGAGAAACTCGCATTTTAGGATATGGCTAAGGTCATTGATAAAATTTTTAAATAATATTGGTCCCAGAACTTAGCCCTGCGGAACACCCGGATTTGGTTCAAATGTCGCTGATTCATCGCCATTGAAGGTGACATACATACGCCTATTAGTAAGATATGATCTGAACCAGCCTATGAGTTTTGTATCAATACCAAAGTTTACCAGTTTAGACAAAAGAATTTCGTGATCAACAGCATCGAATGCTTTTGAAAAATCGGTATATGCAGTATGCACTTCACATTTTTCATCCAGAGCATTTGATACATAGCTTACGTACTCAATCAGATTGGTATTGGTTGACTTATTTCTCATAAACCCATGTTGCCAAGGTGTGATTTGGTCTTCCACCATTGATATCAGGTGTAAGTTAACGATTTTTTCGGAGAAAATAGCTAAATTGCATAGACATACAAATTGGTCCATAGTTCGATAGCAATGACTCATCACGTTTCTTCAAAATTGGTGTCACGAATGACGTTTTAAATAGGATAGATGCCTGACCGGAGCGATCGGTTGAAGATCATTGAAAGTGGTATTGAAATTTGCTTACAAGTCTGTCTCAAGAAATAATTGGGAATGCCATCTTCGTCCACCGTTCTTTTTTAAGTCAACTTTATCGATAATTGTTTCAACATCAACAGGTGTGATGTGGGATGATTGATCGGTATTTGAATGAACGGTATTGGTGATTGAACGGTCTGATGAACGGTTGTTGTAAGTTGACTTGAGATAAGTGGCAAACAGTTCATAAATTTCTCCCGGTCTTGAGACTATGACATTATTATACTTAAATGATTATGGATAGCTACTTGCTTGTTTCTTTCTCTTAGTCAATGCCCAGAACAGTTTTATGTTTGATTTGATATTAGTTTGGAGGTTATTTATGTAATTACTGTCCAATTTTCAGTTTGTTCTCCCTTCTAAGATCAGGGAAAAACTGGTAATCACTGTCCACAGCGGTTCTTTTCCACTTAAGTCGAGCCTTATTTTTCTTTTTTAATTTTCTTCTTAAATCAAAGTCAAACCAGAAGGGGTACTTTGATTTCCCCCCGTAAAGGGGGGTATGTTTCTGAATAATGCCGTTAAGTATGGAATAAAATTGTATCATTGCTAAGGCAAAGGGTAAATTGTCAATGAATCGCACGTCTATAACATCCAGTTCTTCACAAATTGCCACATAGTTGGCATGTCTGAACTTGAATTTTCTGTGGTTTACCACACGAAGGAATTTTAATTTAAAATCTATTGCGAAATCATATGGCAAACAACAAAACATGTAAAATATTTACGGATTTAATTTCGATTGTATTTTATTATTTCTAATTTATTGTATATATGAGTAGTTTGCAGCGAAAATGTAATACAGAAAAGTTGCGCGGAAAAATGTCGATGATGAATGAGCGGAAAAGGGATAGCTATATAGATAACTGTATAGTAAACTATAGTGAACTATATAGCTATCTCTTTTCATTTGACATTTTTCCTCGCAACTTTTCTGTATTACATTTTCGCTCCAACTCATATATATATTTATTTCCTAATTTGTTTTCATCGTTTCGGCATCAATGCAAGAATAAACACGCCGAAGTGGATTTGAGCGCGAACAAAGTCAAACAAAATTTTGCCGTCATTCTGTAGCGGCGCTTAACAATTGTGTCGTTGAGAATAAAAATGGAATTAGCCGAAACCGCTCATTTACATGTGAATCATTTCTGCGTTCCTGGTGAGAGATACAAGACCGGTGTCTTCTGCAATGTTTTAGAACATTCCAAGATCATCTTTGCTTGAGACATTTGCCGAAAATGGTACATTTTGTAAGTGACCGGAAAGGCTGTTAAATGTATTTATCTCTACCAATAAATTAATAAAGAATAAAGAATAATACTATTACACGAGATGTTAATATTTTAATCATATCAATATCGATATTAGCATTAACATATTAACAGTATTCTTCTATTAAGTGCACAGCTATAGATGGTGAATAATTGTAAAGCGCCACTACAGAATGAC